GCTCCGCCCCCCCCCCCCCTTTTGGACATTTCTGGATCCGCCCCTGAGAGTTATGATTAAGTTTATTGTGATAATAGAAATACAGCAGTAGACAGAAGATCAGATATATCCCCCACCCTTATTCAAGAATAGGTAGGTGAAGGGGGAGTTCTCGGACTGACCTGACCTTGGAACTTCATACTCCTTGCAATCAGGGGTTTCTCGCAAACGTTGATAGTACTCGCATCGATTTCCCCAAACGCAGCAGAAGAAGTACGGTAATCCATCGTAAATCCAATGAGACAACAAGGGCACACTATACTTAGCATTGTACGGCACGATCCCTTCCTTCGTGTATTTTCGGGAGAAACTAGCCTCCTCACTATCTCCTGAATACACCAAGTTTTCAAACTCATCATAGCAACAAACACTGTCAGATCCACGGGGGCTAAATTGCGTGGGGTTTAAAAAGAATATTATGAAGCTTCTGTGTGACTACCCATTATTAATTTCAAATTAATTGATAATAAAATTTCCTTACTACTGTACGACGTATACATTACTAATATTCAGACAATGAATATTCAACGTAGAGCACTGAATATTCAATTATATAGAAAGAAGACAAATTGCTTGGGTATCCATAATATAATCTTTTATTAAATAATGAAAATTTACAGAAAATTTCAGTCAATTCTGAGCAAGTACACCACATTTAACAACGGTTAATTTAAAATAAACTATGAATGAGCTTTGTCAATATACTCAATTAAAAAAATAACAACACATTCTCTAAAGTCCTATACTTAGGCTTTCATAGCATACAAATGGAACGAACAAAACAATGTACTGAATAGGTATTGTTACAAAAAAAAAGTTTTAAAGAAACTAATAAAAATGACGTAGGCCTACCTTGGAACAATGTTCTCGACACAATGGACAATAGTTGACCTCTGGTAACAATAGAATTCGTCACTCTCCAAGTTGCATTCAAGTGTAGGCTTAAAGCGTCCTCTATCGGCCAGAGCCTGACTTAAGTTACATGGGCATGGTTCAAGTTCAAGAACGTACTCATCTTCGTTAACTTCTCTTTCATACCACTCTTCACAACGCATAGTGGCCCACAGTTCCTGGTCATTCTGATACCAATCATACAACATATATCCCAAAGGATGTATGTCGCTCCATAATGCAAAATCATCTCTGCAATGAAACACACATCAAATCAATACTGAAATTACCTCATTAAAAAACTTCAAACGGATTACAGTATTATAATCGAGAATAATTTTAAGAGAATCATTACAATTGAGAATGCAAAGTTAAGTAGAGTACATTAAACAAATGTTGAAATACGTAGGCCTATATATTATTATAAGTATACTGTACAACTAAATTGGAATGCTAAACGATCCAGGCAAAATATTTGATAGAATATAACTTTCCAGTTAAAACTTGAAATCAACCAAACAATATATAGGCCTACTGCTAGATCCTTAATATACCGTAAAACCTCAAAGAGTAGCCTTGGGCTGCTTCTTCTTCTCTCTCTTGTTCATTTTGTTTCCTTTAAATTCATGTACAGTGTATATGTACTGTACTATCTCGAAAAGAAGTATAATCTAGAAAAGAAGCCCATGAATGGTCCTCTTTTCGAGGGGAGCTTCAATTCGAGATGACCTTCTTGTAGCGATTAAGCCCATTGGGTTTTTTTTTCGAGGTTTTACGGTATTGCACATATTCAATTTTTACTTTTTCCATCTTCTGGTAACACGTAGGGCACCAACTGCATTGTGCTCTAGAATTTCCCATGTCGGTCTTGGTATCCAGGTGAAGTGTCCAGTATTTGGTGCATCGTAAGTAATTTCTTCTGCCCATTCCCACTTGGGTATGCCATCCTCCTCCGAATATGCCATGAGGTCCACTCTAACC